TAAAAAAAAAGTTTTTCCTCACATCCCTTCTAATCTACTGCCACTTAGCTTGAATCTATGAGAGCTGGTTTTTGAACTCTCTGCCAAGGAAAACACTTTACTCTATCTCTACCCCTCACACTTTTGTACACCTCAATCATGTCATCCCTCAGTCCTCTCTGTTCCAAGGAAAACAAGCCCAACCTTTCCTCAGAGCTCCAATTCTCCAGCCCTGGCAACATTCTAGTCAATCTCCACTGCACTTTCACCACAGCAATTAAATCTTTCCTGTAATGTGTTAACCAGAATTATAGAATCGCTACAGTGTGAAAGCAGGCCACTCGGCCCATCAAGTCCACACTGATCCTCTGAAGAGCATCCCACCCAGACCCCCATCCCCACCCTATCCCTACAAGCCTGAATTTCCCACAGCTAAACCACCTAACCTACACATCTCTGGACACAATGGGCAATTTAGCATGGCTAATCCACATCTTTAGACAGTGGGAGGAAACCAGAGCACCTGGAGGAAACACATGCAGACACAGGGAGAACATGAAAACTCCACACAGACAGTCACCCAAGGATGGAGTTGAACCAGATCCCCAGCTCTGTGAGGCAGCAGTGCTAACCACTGAGCCACTGCGCCGGGCCATACGATACTCCAGTTGTGACCTCACCAGTTTCTTATAGAAATATTGATTTAAGAGATTAAAGCGGACTTTCATGGAACAGAGTTTTGTTTAATGTAATGAAGGCTGTAGAAGGAAGTTCAATATTCATTTTATTTCAACTCAACAAGGCTCCTGAGGTGATGTATATGTGCATGTTGGCACTGTGCAGGGCCCAAGGGTGGCAGTGGTGGGGGAGGGTATGGTTTGGCACTGGGGCATCAGGGTGGCTTGGGATGTGTAGTGAGTAAAGGCTAAAGGTGCTATGATTTAATAAAATATTGGTGGGCCTTTTAAACAGCACATCCTGGAACTCAGTGGCTGCTGAGTTGATTTGATTTGATTTATTGTTGTCACATGTACTTAAATACAGTGAAAAGTTTTGTCTTGCATGCAGTACAGGCAGATCATAACAAACAAGGACATACAGATCATAGGGTGCATGGAGAGAGTGAGGCATACAAGGTTATGTATGCACAGGAGGTGCACAAAAGCAAGATCAATATCAGATTTGAATTTTTTTTTCTTTATTCGTTCATGGGATGAGGGCATCGCTGGCTAGGGCAGCATTTATTGCCCATCCCTAATTGCCCAGAGAGCAGTTTAGAGTCAACCACATTGCCGTGGGTCTGGAGTCACGTGTAGGCCAGACTAGGTAAGGATGGCAGTTTCCTTCCCTAAAGGGCATTAGTGAACTAGATGGGTTTTTCCAACAATCGACAATGGATTTATGATCATCATTAGGTTCTTAATTCCTGATATTTTTATGAATTCAAATTCCACCATCTGCCGTGGCAGGGTTCAAACTCAGGTCCTCAGAACGTTATCCAGGTCTCTGGATTAACAGTCCAGCGATAATACCACTAGACCATTGCCTCCCCCATTAGAGAGGTCCATTCGGCAGTCTAATGACAGCAGGGAAGAAGCTGTTCTTGAACCTGTTGGTGCTTGTGTTTAAGCTTCTGTATCTTCTGTCTGATGGAAGAGGTTGGAAGAGAGTATTATCCCCATTTATAAACGACACCTGTGTTAAGTGAGCCTAACTCACTTACTTCCAGCATGTTTGGCAATCCCTGTTCAGAGGCAAAGGTCTCACCATTCAGGAGAGAAACTCCCAAGATGGGTGTGGCAAGTTGGCATGTTTCCCGACGTTGGGATTGGGAATCGAAGCTTGAGTCTGTGTTTCATTTTAATCCAAACACCAGCAGTGAAGGGTATGGGCAAAGCAGGACAGTTACACCCTCCCTTCATCCACAGGATCTTTCACCTCACCAATATGAAAGTTTAACTTAGCAAGGTCAAGGGGAAACAGGTTGGATCAAGTCCCATGTAACATTCACAGCATCAGGAGGTCAGTCGCTGCATCTGGATGCAATTGAGCTGCTGGCCTGAAGAAGTTACTGGCCTGTCCAGATCTGACAACCTAGAGGCAAATGCAAGGTTGGCCTGGATCTCCCCATGATGTAATCGCGTCGAACTTTAGTATTCTGGCAATTCACTGCTGAAATAATTGGTCATAAGAGGGCGAGCAGAGGCCAAGTTTCCATATGGAGCCTTTACTCCCAGGATTGTTAATGCAATCCGAAAGGCAAAAGGAACAATTGTGTGCAAATTCTCTTTTTTGAAGAAAATATACAGAAGGAATAAATGTCTGATTGGGTTCGACTAAAAGAGTGACCTCAGTCTTTTCCTCCCATCAGATCCAAATGAGGGTGTATGTTCACACAAGAACAGAGGAATCTAGAGGTTCAGGTACATAATTCTTTGAAATGTGCATCACAGTGGAGATAGGGTGGTTAAGAAGGCGTTTAGCACACTTGCCTTCATTGCTCAGACGTTTGAGTATAGGAGTTGGGACTTCATGTTGAGATTGTACAGGATGTTGGTGAGACCACTTCTGGAATACTGTACGCGCTTCTGGTCGCCCTGTTATAGGAAGGACATTATTGAACTGGAGAGCGTTCAGAAGAGATTTACCAGGATGTTGCCGGGTATGGAAGGTTTGAATTGTAAGGAGAGGCTGGATGGGCTGCAACTTTTTTCACTGGAGCGTAGGAGGTGGACAGGCGACCTTATAGAAAGAAGTTTACAATATAATAAGGGGTTTAGATAGGGTTGATGGTAGTTGTCATATCCCGAGGATGAGAGATTTCAAGACAAGGCGGCACATTTTTAAGTTGAGAGGAGAGAGATTTAACAAAGAGATGAGGGGAGAGAGATTTTAAAAAGATAGAGGGTGGTTCACGTGTGGAATGAACTTCCTGAGTGGTGGATGTGGGTGCAATTACGTTTAAAAGACATTTGGATAAGTACACAAATAGGAAAGGTTTGGAGGGATATGGGCCAGGAGCAGGCAGCTGGGACTAGTTCAGTTTGGGGTTATGTTTGCATGGACTGGTTGAACTGAACGGTCTGTGTCCATGCTGTATAACTCCATGACTCACTTATCACCCCCATAGTCATCATGGATCCTCCTCATTTTTAGTTAGTCCCAGTACATTCAGTACAACAGAGCACTGAGCATGTTGTGCAAACAAGCGGTCAAGCCAACCCAGCCCATTTTCAGCATTCGTAAATTTCTACCCCACCACACTGTTGGCCGAATAATGGCTCGCTCAACATCCAGACAATGAAAAGGAAGGTTTGCTTTGTTCTGAGGAAGGGTCGCTGTCCCGAAACGTTAACTATTTTTTCCTTCACAGATGCTGCCAGACCTGTTGAGCTTTTCCAGCAACTTTGATTTAGTTTGCTTTATACAGGCCAGGTTCTACACGATCCTTGCACATGACAAGTACAAGTTAGTGCTGTGCTGGGGAATATTGAAGCAAACCAACAGGCATCGCTGGGTGATATTATTTCATCAATGTTTAAACGACCAGCAACGGATCAAATGATTAAAGAATTAATGTTGATTCCTTTCCTTTATTCATTAACAGGATGAGGGTGTCACTGGCTGGGCAGCATTTATTGCCCAGGGTCAACCACATGCTGTGGGTCTGGAGTCACATGTAGGCCAAACCAGGTAAGAATAGCAGTTTCCTTCCTTAAAGGACATTAATGAACCAGATGGGCTTTTCCCAGCAATTGGCAATGGATTCATGGTCATCATTAGATCCTTAATTCAAGATATTTTATTGATTTCAAATTCCATCATCTGCCAAGGCAGGATTTGAACCCGGGTCCCCAGAACATTATCTGGGTCTCTGGATTAACAGTCCAATGATAATACTACTAGGCCATCACCTCCCCTTAATGTAGCTAATCTCCTAACAAGACCTGGTTTTGGTAATACCCTAAATCATTGGAAGGATGCTGAGCTATTCAATTATTTACAAAATACAAACCAAAATTTGTAGTAATTAGACCATGACGTGTTGTATGATCTTAAGATAAAAGCTTGTATTTAAACTGTAAAGGATGTTTTAGAATTAATTATCTGCCATTTTGCATTAGGTCATCCCTAAAAGTATGCAGCAGTTGAACGTTAATGTCTTTACACAAAAGATAGTTCCATTGATGATGGGAGAAAAGTGAGATTTGGACAGGTACACCATTCTGTTTACTGGCAGTTGCAACTCAACTCCCTCACAAGCAGTTCTGAGTTCTGAAGAAGTCATGTCTGGACTCAAAATGTTAACTCTGCTTCTCTCTCCACATATGCTGCCAGACCTGCTGAGTTTCTCCAATATTCTCTGTGTCTACTCCCTTACTGACAATTTCTTTGCCCTTTCTGTAACTAGTCAAGAACTCACTTGATCCATGCATGGATCAAGAATTATAGATTGTCATGCAAACACGGATGTAAATATTGATTTCAATCATAACAGTGAAACAGGCAGAACATTTTCTGTAGTTTTGTTACTGCAAGGCAATCTACCCAAAATATGGCGGCTTTGAAAGATTGACATCAATTCATTACTTGATAGAAAACCAACTAGGTACAATTTCAAGGACATCTAGGGCGTAATGTTCAACCGCTGTACATAAATGGAATCTGAAAAGGAAACCAGCAGATGATGAACCTGAAGCAAACAGAATCAGAAATAAAAATCCTCAATAATTATTAATCACTGCTTTTAAATATGAAAGACACATCAGTTGCCATTATTTATTCAATTTTGCAGTCACTATCTTAAACTTTTCACTTGACGTCTTAAATGAGCTGTAATCTTTCTAACAAAATTCTCGAGTCATTTTCATTGTACAGAAATAATTACTGGCGTGTAGGCATAATTTTATCTTAATTGAATCCCTGGGCCAATCGTACGTACATAGGTTTTGCACAAGTGAAAATTCTAATTTGCACCCAAAGGGTTGTTGAAATGCGCAAAGCTGTTCTGGAGAACTTACTGGTGGCAGCTGTGCCACTCCCAGGAGTGGCGAGGTCTGTTCGGAAGGAAGTCAGCAAGCCCCTGATTCTTTACCCGCTGGGGAAACCGCAGCAAAACTCGGATGTCGTAATCCGTGACGTCAGAAGCGTACGCGGAGCTGAAGGAGACAAAAGAAAGCTTGGTCTGAGCCAGTGAGGATACCCCAGAATGCTGCGAACAAAAGGATGTCATTCCAAACTCATGCACCCAAGCACTCTGAGATGGCAGCGATGAGGGAAGGGCCAATTCCATTAACTGCATAGAGGCCGGTATCCCATCACCAAGTCACCCTTTATTTACATATGCACAGTATACTAACTGTGGCCAGTCAGCACAGAGTCAGTCTTTCAACTAAGGAGACTCTAAATCCCCTGTTTCTGTCTGTTTATACCTGATTGGCCCATGTTAACAACCCCAATGAAGGATCTCATAGTCAATGAGATCCACCTGGTTCCAATCATAGAGTCATAGAGCCATACGGCATGGAAACAGATTCCTCGGCCCAATTCACCCATTCCAACCAACTTTCCTAATCTAAACTGGTCCAATTTGCCTGCATTTGGCCCATATTCCTCTGAACTTTTCCTTATCTATTTACCTGTCCAAATGTCTTTTAAGTGTTGCAATTGTACCCAACTCCACCAATTCTTCTGGCAGCTCATTACATAAACTGTGAGAAAAAGTGACCCTACTGATTCCTTTTAAATCTTTCCCCACTCATCTACAACCTATGCCTTCTAGTTTTGGACTCCCCTATCCTGGGGAAATGACGTTGGCTATTCATCTTATCTATGCCCCTCATGACTTTAAAAACATCTATCTGGTCCCCCCTCGGCCTCTGATGCTCCAGAAAAGAAAATCCCAGCTTATCCAGCCTCTCCTTGTAATGCAAACATTCCAGACTCAGTAACATCCTTGTAAATCATTTTTGCACCCTTTCCAGTTTAAAAACATCCTTCCCATAGCAGGGCTTTACAATTTCCTGCATTAGAACACTGACTGAATTTGGGAAGCACTTCATTGACCACTAAATGCTTTGGAACATCCTGCAAATGTGAAGATGTTATGTCAACACAACTCATTTTTTTGACATAGCACTTACCATGACCCCAGGCTGTCTCAAAGGGCTTTAACAACCCATGAAACACTTTTGAGGTGTATACAGAATCCCTACGGTGTGGAAACAGGTGATTTGGCCCATTGAGTCCACACCAATCCTCCTAAGAGTACCCCACCCAGACTCACCCTACCCTACCCGATCCCTCTACCCCTGCATCACCTATGGCAAATCCACCTTGCCTATTCATCTCTGGACACTATGGAACAATTTAACATGGCCAATCACCTAACCTGCATGTCTTTGGAGGAAACCAGAGTACCCAGAAGAAACCCTCGCACAGGCACGGGGAGAATGTGCAAACTCCACACAGACAGTAGCCCGAGGATAGAATCAAACTCGGGTCCCTGGTGCTAATCACTGAGCCACTGTGCTGCCCCAATGTAGTGCCGACAGCACAAATGCCCAGAAACTGCAATGGGGTAATGACTAGCTAATTGTGATGTTGACAGAGAGATAAATATTGGTCAGGACATCGGGGAGAACAGCCCTGCTCTTCTTGATAGGAATGTCCAAGGATTATTTACAACCACTGGAGCAGGGAGGCATGTTATCAGCTTTAACGTCAAATCTGAAAGACAGCATCGCTGACAGTGCAGCACACCCACAGTACTGCGCGACTGCTTCAACCTTGATTTTTGTGGCCAACCATGGAGGGGGAACTTGAACGCAGAAACTTGTGACACAGAGGCAAGAATGCTGCCCACTAAGCTACAGCTCAGTCCTGAAGAAAATTAAATACTTGAATTACCTAATGAATACATAATTGGCTTTGTGCAGACAAATTTTTGTGAGTAAATAGACATTAAGTAATTCGCCATGTTCCTCAAAGGGCCACAGGCAACTCTCTCCATTTGACAAACACAATTGATCATATGTAGATTAAAAGACACCACCTTACAAGTTGGTGCAAGGTTAGGAGACAATGAACTATCACAGCCGAAGAGAGATTGACATTGTTGACATTCTGTGTCATAACCTAGACATCTATCCAACTAGGTTAAACAATGTCATTGATTTAGTAATCCAGAGGATTACTAATGGCTAATGGGTATCCATGATGTGTATGGAAATGTCACATTGTTCTTTCAGCTCCAATTGAAACCTCGGTCCACATTTTATTTAAATTCAATTGATAAATCTGGAATTAAAAAAATATTGACCGTTAAATTACTGTCGATGATAATAAAAGACCTTCACTAATGTCCTTTCGGGAAGGAAATCTGCCACCCTTACCCGGCCTGGCTTACATCAGACCCCAGACCCACAAAGATGTGCTTATCCCTTAACTGGCCTTTGAAAATGCCCAGCAAGTCCCTCAGTTAGAAACGGTAACAAATACTAGTCCTGCCAGCGAGACTCACATCCCATAAAAGAACAATTAAAAGAAACAATCCCACCTTTTCAACATATTTGAAAGACTACTCAGCTAGACTGGAGATAACTCCCATAGGTCAGATCCAATATTATTTAATTGGAAAGATAAGGGGATCCATGCTTCTAAGAGAAGGTAGGCTCGTTCATGTTGATGGGACTCTAACTCCTTCCAGACTCTTGCTGCTGCCTCTCGAATGTCCCGTAGTTCAGACATTGGTTATACTCTATTCTGTCAGGTTCACTTGTAGAAACAAGGCTTCAGTAAGGGGCAGGATTCACAGCAGACCCAGAGGATTTCTGTTTCCTCCAGCTGAGAAGGGCCAGTCATGAATTCTTGCCAAATATCAAATTCAAATGTCCACTGTGACCATTCCAAATGCCAAAATGGTCGCTGACACATGCATAGATAGGGTCGGTGATGTCAGCTGATGGCAAAGTTTGGAAGACCATGTAAGTGACACCTCAAGTCTGATTTATACCACAATTTATACCAATACTCCCAGTAACAAATCTGTGTACAAGGCACTAGTGAGACCACATCTGGAGTATTGCGTACAGTTTTGGTCCCTTTACCTGAGAAGGGATGGAGTTGGATTGCAGGCAGTTCAGAAAGGGATGACTAGATTGATTCCAGAAATAGGGGGTTTGTTTTATAAAGTGAGATTGAGCAGTTTAGGTTTATTATCTCTGGAGTTTAGAAGAATGAGAGGAGATCTAATTGAGGTGTATAAAGAGGATTGACAAAGTAGACACAGAAGGCATGTTTGAATATATGGGGCAATCGAGAATGAGAGATCAGTTTTAGCAGATTTAAAACAGAGATAAGGAGAAATTACTTCTCTCAAAGGGTTATGAATCTGTGGAATTCACTGCCTCTGAGTGTGGTGGTTGCTGGGACATTGAGTACATTTAAGGAGGAGACAGACAGATTTTTAATTAGTAATGGGTCAAAAAGTAGGGAAACGGAGCGGAGGCTGAGATAAGATCAGCCATGATCATGCTGAACAGAGCCACGATGTGGAGGTGCTAGTGTTGGACTTTGGTGGGGGGAGGGGGGTGGAAACAAAGTCAGGAGTCACAGGTTATAGCCCAACAGGTTTATTTGAAATCACAAGCTTTCAAAGCACTGCTCCTTCATCAGGTGACTTTGAAAGCTTGTGATTTCAAATAAACCTGTTTGGACTATAACCTGGTGTCGTGTGACTTCTGACCTTATTAAATGGAGGAGCAGGCTTGAAGGGCTGAATGGCCTACTCCTGCTCTTAGTTCTTGTGTCCTTACGTTTATGTTCACTCCCCGCAAGGCCCAGAATGGAATACAATCTCAGATGCAATCTAGCAATGGTGCCACAATTTCCACCCGCTTGATTCTCATTCCATTCGTGCGATCAAAGGCACATTATCGACTTGAAAAACATTTATCAAACCTTAGCAGTTTGCAGACCTAGAAATAGATATCCCTCATCACAACCGAGCCTTGCAAAGGTGACGTGACTTTGCAAGTTGAATCCCACTACCACCTGGCAGCAAACAATCAAAGAGACTGGCTGAAGTGTTTCTCAAAAAGTGTTCTTTTTGTTAAAACTCCGATTGGTGTCGTCTAGTGAACGAAGAGCTGGGTGAATGGAGAGACTACAAAAAGGGACAATCATAAAGCAAACAAACAATTGAAACACAGCCTCTGCAATACGCCACTCTGGAGTGCAGCTTTCCGCAGAAATATTGTGAGCCGTTGAGAGCAAAATCAATCAGCCATATTCCTGCCACCACTGAATTAATTTGATCTCGAGGTAGTTCCAGGTAATAAATGGTTTGGTTCATCCAGGCTTTCTGTGAGCATTGAAGTAGTTTTATTGTCACATGTACTCACATGAGTACTGTAAAAAGTTTACAAGTCGCCACTTATGGTACCATCTTAGGTACAAAGGTACCTGGGTACAGCTCCTTCAGCACAAGTTCTTCAGGAAAAAAGCCTAGAAAATAGGGAAAGAAAAAGACTAGCTTTGCAGATTGTAGAAAATAGGGAAATAAGAAGTTCAGAACAGTGGTCTTTCCAACCCAGTCCACACTGGCACCTTACCTCCAGTCCAGACCTTGGCTCCAGACCGTGCCAGGCTTCACCTCAAGGATCACCAGCCTTTAGAGAACACTTTGTGCATATAGGTGTCTGTGTGTAAGTACTTAACCAGAAGGTTGTGAGTTCAAGTCCCACTCTAGTGACTTGAACACAGGCTCCGCATTCCAGGTGCAGTGCTGGAGGCAATGGATAGGAGATCAGACCTGGACTGCTCTCCTGAAGCAATACATAACATTGACAAAGCACAGGTGGATTCTCCCCAAAATCCAGGACAATCCCACAATCAACATGATATAAACAAGTCCTCTGATCATATTGCCATTTGCAATGTGGCAAAATGAGGTTGTGAAAGGTGCTATATCAGTGCACATCTTCCTTGCAATGCAAGAACATAGCACCCCAGTATTCAACAGGAGATGAACAACAAAATAGCTGCATGTCCCAACATTCAGTGCGATGGAGGAGGATGGGGGAATAATGCTGCTTCGGTTCCCTGTCTTAAGTCTCATTCGCTTTAAACGGTTATGTCTGAAAACAAGAGGTTTGTG